GCCCCTGGACTGTTTTGCCTGTATCACCATTCTAGCCAGTTTTTTTTAGCTGAGAATATGGTCCCTTGCGGGTTTATCCTCCCGCTGCCCCTCCTCTCTTGCAGCTTCAAGCATAGGTTGGCCGCTAAATTTAGTGGCTGGTCACTGTTTTAGCGTGACATTGGCTGCAGGAAAGCAAGATAAATATCCTTGAACTGAAGCTCTTCTTCTCAACAGGGTCGCAATCATGGTATTCGGCAGGCTCGGTGCTTTAGTCAGTGTCGTATAAGTAAATCTAATATCTTTTGGGAAATGCGCGCCGTTAGATATGTCATTCTCTTGGCCACACCTAGTAGCTGTTGCTTTTTGTATGGAGCATTCTATTTTAAGAAACCTGAGTTGGCTCTTGATAAACCGTGTCGCATCAAGGCCAAAGCAAAGCCCAGAAACGGCGAGATGGGATCTTCTTTCCCTGAGAGCACCACGACACCAACAGCCGTGCAAATACGATATGCCCATTCTCATTTTACGATACTCAGATCCCGCAGAGCTCAGATGTAGGGTAAGCTGTTCGAACATCGGATGTCACTTGTCCGAATCTCCGGATCCACATTTGCACCTCTTCCCTCTTCATCACGATCTCAAAATTTCCTTCCATTTTACTACCCCATCCATTTGACATGCCTTACACTTCAACAACAACAACTCGATTGCAGCGAACTTCAGGCCTCTTAGACCATTCTGAGATATTCTCTAGACACCATGAAGTCATGTGTCATCTAAGTCAATTTGACTGACATGAATCTCATGAATCTCAACACTTGCCAAATCGCACATAAATTACCCATTTTGCTCACCACAACAGCATTTCCTTTCGCGCCGAGTTTCGTCAATGACTTAATCATCAGGTATGTCTACTCTCTGTTTCTTTCATCGCATTTCTATTTCTATATGATGAGACACACATAACACAGACCTGTTCTGAACACTTGTGTAGAAAAACATGTTTTTAATCTGATCAACCCGCTTCTAATTCTCTTTGACACTTGTTCTCTTTCAGAGTCCCAGTACTAACAAGGCGTCAGGATCTAAGAGTGATAGAACATAGAAACCAAAATGGAGTCTGGCTTCGAAGCTTCGACTCTGCCGGTTTGTTCTTTTTTAGTTCGGGGCTCAAAGTCGGGTCTCTTTCAGACAAAGACGGTTGAACGGTTGAACACACCCTCTCCTATAGTGAGGAGATGTCCTTGTTCAACTAACAGCCGCCCATCTTTTACGATTTACTCATGTTCGGGGTCTCGTTCTTTCGTATTGAACAAAGCCCTGAACGAAGACAATGTGCTATTCCAGCTCTTACTGTATCTAAACTATCTCGTAGTAATATAAAGGATGCCACAGGCTCCTTTTCTTAGTTCATTTTTTGTCCTCACCCAAGCAATTATCTGCTCCTGAACGCTCTTTCGCACATCTTGAACAGCTCCTCAGTTCTGGCAACAACGCATCTCGATACCACCTCGCTAGTTCGAACAAAATCTGAATAGACACCATAGAACCCCAGCAGAACTCGGCAAGTCTCGGGACATTGTTTCTAGATGGACAATTTGTACAGTTCTGCCCCAGAGTATATGGGCAACACCATATCAGATATCAACCAACAGCTTTTGAATGGTATGGGCGATGGGTACGGTTTTGAAGACTTTTCATACCCATTGTCATCCGAAGATTTTATTAACCAGTTCGGCTTCGAAGCATCCCAAGACATGGCTCCAAGTACAGTCACAGAAGATGCTCAGCTTCCAGTTGATCCTAAACATCTGTCGACCGTTGACACTCCTGCCCCATACGACCTGAACTCCCCGTTGGATATGCCCAAAAACTTGGGAGCTCCAAAGCCTCATCAGCTACAGGACCCAGTTCCCGTGCCAAAGCCATCTCTGGCGCAGCAGCCCCGACCAGTTCATCAAGCTATGGCACAACCCAACATGCCTGCTGTGGGACATGCGGCCTCCCTTAGAGGTTCCCAAAGCGTGGATCTCGCAGCAAATGTTCAGTTGCCACTCTTTGGCACTCATGGACAAGCAAACCTGTGCGTACTATCCCCTTGTAAGACTTGTAAGAAGCACCAGCTAACCCGAAACAGGCATATTCAGCCCAATTATCCCGTCTACAACTCCTATCAACCGAGTTATCATTACCCGGAAAATGGTATCCAAGGGATCTACGGCACTCAGGGTATGGCACAGTATCCGCTTCAACCTCCAGCCGCAATCAAAGCTCAGTCTATGCACAACATAATCCAAGTAAACAAATGCGCGGATTGTCGTCAGGACCCTCACCTTGGCTCATGCTTTTCGCAGGCAGCTCCCCAGAATCGTCGACCACCTCAACAAAGAATTCAGCAAGTACCATGCCAAGAACCAGATGGACGGCCAGCTTGGTTGCAGACACCTCCTAAGCGCAAGCGGAACGCTGTATTTGACGAGGACTCGGACGTGGAAGTTCCCTTGAAGAAGCCTTATAGGAAGGGACGAAGCTTCAGGACTAAACGTGGAAAGGAGAAGGATCCTGAGATTGGAATCAAGATGTATGGGATGTTCCGCTTCCCGGAACTGGACTGGGTCTCACGCAGAGGATTTGAATTCTTGTACTTGTCCACAGGACAGTGGGAGAAAAAGATTCTATTCTCGGCCGAGGACTTGAAGGACTATATCTACAACTGTCCTCGAAATCCAAAGCTGTGGATCCAACAAAATCCAGCACAGTGCACAGAACGAACTATCGATGCCGACACTATCTGTCGGTACTCGAACTGCCCTGATACAAACCACACGATTCGACCTGGCTGGTGCCGCGTGGCGTTCGACGAATTTTATCACCATACCTCCTGTGGTCAGAAAGATCCTTTCAAGATGGCTGGTGTTATGCACCTTTGGTGCTTCGAGCAGTGCATCGACCCCGTAGAGGTGATGGCAAATGGGAAGATGGTACCAGATGATCGCGATGACGAGAAGCTTGTCAAGGAAAAATCGAACAAAATGGCTATCACTCGGGATTCTGACACAAGGATCGTTGTGGATACTATCAGGCCTTGGTTTAAAAAGCGTGCAGGTCAAGCACCGCAAGCTCCGTATGCGAACTACGAGGACTCTCTCTCCTACGCCCTTGTTAAGCACCATCTGGATCACCAAGTCGGTGCTCGTCATAGGAGCCGTGGTGGTCGCAACAAGGATAGACCAGAAAGCGAGTTGAAAACCATTGACGTCCACATGGGCCGCCTCGACTTCTGGGCCGCGCGCGACACTGCTTCCAGGAAGAAGAGGGCGTCGAAGCAGTCTCGTGCTGCTGCCCCTGAGCCGGAGCAGTTACTTACTCCGACGACCTCCAATGGACTTCTTCCTACACGAAAGTCTGCTGAACTGACACCAAATGGTTCGACAAAGAACTTCAGCGATATGCTGTCGAGTGTTTCCGTTGCCAATAACTATGAGTTTGAATATAACGGATTCATGCCCAAGGCGAAGAAGGAGGAGCAGCCAGTCAAGCTCGAGGACAGCTCAAAGTGGCCTCAGCCTACCGCAGGAGAACGAAGAGTATCATTCAGTGATATTCTATCCCCCAGCGATCTTCTGGAGCAGGAGAATGTTGTGCAACCGAGTTCCAACGCAGAGACTGGTCGCCAAGATCAGCCCGTCTCGCCACCACGACGAAGCCCCCGCTTCTCGGCTGGTAACATTCGTGAGTCTATTCAGACCGAGACCAAGGCTGCCACTTTCCCAGCAAAGTTGCAAGCCTCTGGCTCACTGTTGCCTACGGCCACTACCGAGAGTCCTAAGAAAGAATCCCTGGCTGTGCCCTCTACACCAAAGGGCCAGAGAACTGCTTCGTGGGGCGACGACAGTCTTTTCGGCTCGCCAGTCGCCCCGCTAGCAAAGGACAAATCTCCTCGAGAGGCGTCTGATCGCGCTGGCGAGGAAGTTCAGGGCTCACCTTTGAGGAGAAGCAGCAGAGTGAGCGCTAAGAAGACGCCTTGAGAGGCAGCAGGTGGCCATGATCAAGGACTATCGAAAGTTGCTAGAGTCATGGAGTAGATGTAATAGTACGATATCCCTGCTGGTCAGAGGACTGCACAGAATATGGAGTTTTTGATTGGGTTTAAAGGATATGGATCAAAATCTCTGGAGCCATGGGATATATCGTGTTTTTTCAATACCCCATTTCACATGGTTCAGGATAGCAGCATAGCATAGCAATCAGTGCATTAGACTTGGCTTAGTATTCAGTCCGGAGTTTGGAGTTTATGATTACCTTCCTGTTTTAGTATTAGAGAATCAGATTGTATACGCGAATGAATGAGCGAGCTATGCGTTACAGTGAGTGAAGTCAAGTCATCATGAAGAAATTGAGAGAATTAGTCTTGGTCGAAAGATCAGTTGTTTAGAAAGAGAACTTTGATCACCATTACAAAAGGCTCTATATAGAACACTACCCTTTGTATTAAAGGCTCATGTCTTTGTGAATGGTTCGAGTATTAGATCGAGTCTCTTTGTTTCTTCAACAATAACGACACCAAGATCGTGGGGTTTCTCTTTCAAGCCACAAGCTATAGGCGACAGAACGCACGGCTCAGCTCAAGGTCCAGCCCCGATCTTCAAAGAAATCCAAGCCAAACCAAGTCAAGTCAAGGACAATCAATCGTCTATCTGATCAGGCAAAAAGGGCCCAAGCTTCAACAAAGAACCTCGAGCTCCCCCAAGCTCAGCTCGCCCGTTTTAGCAGTGACGTTGTCCCCATCTGGTGGGGGAACGACCCGTTGAGAAGGGTCGGGGGGGCACGGGAACGCCGATGCAGGCTTACAAGCTAAACAAGGTTGAGGGCTGCTAGGACAGATCTGCGGCCTTGTAGCTGAGCCGGCATCTGAGCTGTGAGTTGTTCGATATTCCTCTTTTGGGGGGGGAGGGATAACGGGACTTGAGAGGGTGACACGCCAAGAGAGGAGAGTTGCGTTTCGGCGAGTGCGAGAACAATAAGTCGTGTGCTATATTTGAAGCTCATGTCTCTTGTCTTTAAAGACATGTTCTTCACCTTCTTTGTTCAGTTCTACAAGTGGCAGAATCATAAATATCGCTCTGCATCGCCATACCCTGCCAAGCGGGATCAGAGCAAGGATCAACGTGGTCAAGTTCAGTCTATCGACAAGCGATATTCGGCGAGAGCGAAGCTATATCAGCACATCCGGTCCAGTGCATACATACTGTATCAGCCTTGGTAGCACACGGCATTGAGAGGATAACGTTCTACGGCACAACGATAAATCCAATCACGTGTGCCATACCTTTTTCCCCTTCATTATTTTTCGGGTCCCTCCAAAAGCTCGCCTGAGCTGTCGGTATTTGCATCACACATTCCATACCAGAGCAGGCAAAAACAAGGGTTGCATCCCTTATCTATCGGAGAATATTAAAGAGCTATCAGTGGTTAATTCTCGAATCAACTACTGCAAGTTAAACAGCTTCAGGTTCGTGGATCAACTAAATCCATCTCTTATTCCGGAATTTGTAGTGTCCTAACTTATTTTACTACCTAGTGACTATAACCTCCAAAGCCAGTGACGGAGACGGCGCGCAACAGGAACAGGTCCACCGTTTTTACTTTGCAGCTTGAATCTTTCAGGCGGTACCTTACAGGGCTTTTAGTGGGGCAACCAGCTAAACCATACCATCTCCAAGCATCTCCATCTCATCCCGTCTCCCTCCACTGCGACCTCTCCAGGGCCCCTCCACCTCCACATCCACATCCCAGATCCCAGGGCAGGCATCAAATCGGCCGAGTTGAGTCAACCGTCATCACTCAATTCTCTCCCTCCCTCTCTCGTTTATATTTTTTCTCTACTTTCTTTCTACTCGCCCAAAAGCAAATCATGGGAGCCGAAGTCGAGCCTGCTTTGCAGGTGATTGTATTGGTACGTATCATCAACGGTTAACAGCCTATCCCCATCCCTCGTTTGTTTACATGTGCACCGTTACATCTCCAAAAACCAATACCCACTGAGGTTCACCCGTGGTATAAGAACGGTTTTGGTGCATGAGGGCCATAAACAAAACACGTCGGATCATATCGTGATTCGTGGTGGCGTTTGTCTTGCCGCATCCTCATACTCTATTTCACATTTCGGCTTCTCACTGCCGTGTTCCACGTACTCACTCACTCATATGAACAAAAGTTGAACTCTAACTAACGTCAATTACAGGGCTCAGGGGGTGGTCCTCAAGAATCAAACACCACTGCTTTTCTAGTCCGTTCTGTCGCTCAAAAATGGCATCGTGGCTCTATCATCGCCGTCGATGCTGGCGTCCATCTCTCTGCTATCACACGTATCATGGAAGAATCGATACCTTCTCCACCACCGCCTCCTCCCTTCACACTTACCATTGGCCCCTTTGCAGGTCTTGAGCTGCCTTACTCTTCACCTTCTGCTAACGCATCTCACATCACGCGCTCTCTCGTCGACACATATCTCATCACTCATCCTCATCTTGATCACATCTCGGGCTTTGTAGTCAATACTGCTGGCTTCCCGGGCACAAGGCCGAAGAAACTGGCTGCTCTACCAAGCACAATCCAAGCTTTCAAGAATCACATTTTCAACAATGTGATATGGCCAAACCTAAGTGATGAGAACAACGGAGCTGGGCTGGTGACTTATATGAGATTGGTTGAAGGTGGCAGTCCGACACTCGGCGACGGTGAAAGTAGGGGTTACATCGAAGTTGCAGACGGACTCCTTATCAAGGTTTGGAGCGTAAGCCATGGGCATTGTCTCGAGAAGCATAGTCACCGGGGCTCAACATCAAGTGCATCTACTCGCTTCAGCAGCCATGATGCATCCATGCCACAAGGTCCCATCGCGCGCTCAGCATCTTACTACCCGGGATCTATATCCCTACATCGAGGGTCACTCATGATCCCCCAAAACAGCTTCAGCCCTGTAACGACTACATTGGAGCAGGAGCAAATTTGCGTCTACAACTCAAGCGCCTACTTCATCCAGGACCCCACCACCCATCGTGAAGTCCTCATTTTCGGGGACGTTGAGCCTGATAGCATATCGCTAAGCCCGCGGAATCTGCATATCTGGCAACAAGCTGCGCCAAAGATCGCCTCTGGTAACCTCAAGGCTATCTTCATCGAGTGCAGCTACGATGAGTCGCAGGCAGAGGATCGTCTGTACGGGCACCTAAAGCCCCGCTATGTCATTGAGGAGCTGCGCGCACTGGCGCATGAGGTCGAAGTCGAACGCAAGTCGCATTATTCCGAACCTAAGAAGCGCAAGCGCATGGGCAGCACGACTGACGAGACTCCACGACGAAACCCTTCTATCGCGAATCTCACCTCTGAAGACCCCGTGTCTCCCAGGACCATCAAGGCTTCGACACCGGATTACGTTCACCCTGGTATTGAAACACCTCCTACACCGCACCTCACTTCGCCGACGGTTGAGTTGACGCTCAACCCATCTGATTCCTTCACATCTGTGCCCAGGAAAAAACGGCCCCTCGAAGGTCTCAAGGTTGTCATCATCCATGTCAAGGATCGACTGGATGATGGTCCTAATGTTGGAAACACTATTCTGAAACAACTGCACAATTTTGAGAGCGAAACTGAGTCACCCTTGGGATGCGAATTCATCATCTCTCATTCTGGTCAGAGCATCTATCTCTGAGCACTTCATTTACCGGCGTTGAAATTTTCCGTTCTCTCTGGCATTTGGCCATATATGATTTCTTTTGTTCTATAGCACCTGGCTATAAGCTCTGTGGGCTTGTGCTACCGTTTGGGTTTAAGTTTGTTATACATTTTGCTTATATGAGGCGACGATTTGGTTTATGAGTATAACTCAGGGAATGAAAGGTGGGCATGTATCACTCCTGGGGAACTGTATTGCATGATGGCCATTTTGTTATTAAGCCCTGTTTGCGGGCTTGTTTAGTCTATATATTTGGTGTTTGGTCATGAATGAATATATACCACGTCTGACCTAGTTCTTTTGCTTTTGTATCTTTTCAGCTCCCTCTTGGCCACCGACGTCCTTATCAAAATCTGTTCTTGGGATCTCGAACGCCTCAGTAACCCTGGCATATGTGATTCCTCCTAATCGGCTGACTGGCTTCAACACACCAGGATCAACCATATTCTTATCCTCGTTCAACGCATCCTCTCGAACCCAGAAACGAGTTCCCTCGAAAACGGCCATACACCCAGACTTGTTTCCAGGTCGTGCCTTACTGTCGAACTCCTTGAGCATATCGAGCTTGCACTCAATGCTAACAATAGCCTCGCCCACACGAGCACACTTGACGGTCTCGCAGTCGTACTTGGGTGTCAGGCCCGAGATATCCCACTCAGATACATCAGCAGGGGCGTTGACGCTAGCTGAGTTTGCGGCTTCGATGAAGTGCTCTGAGATGATGTTGATAACACACTCGCCGGATTCGGAGACGTTGCGAAGTGTGTCCTTCGCATTGGCGAGTCCAGATGCGAAACCAACAACAAACATGGGCGGGTCGTGGCCCATCATGTTGAAGTAACTGAACGGGGCGAGGTTCTTCTTTGTACCGTCGGGAGCTTGACTGCTCACGAAAGCGATAGGACGCGGTACAATAGCAGAGATGAGAAGCTTGTAATTGAACCCCGCAGGGCGACCCTCCTCATGAGGATCTATGGCGACATGTTTCTTATCACCATCATCCTTGCCCAACTTATTCGCACCCTCACCAAAAGTCCAATCCGCATCAACAGTCTTGGTGTAGCGAAACTGAGACTTGGCATCCAGCTCAGGTCTCGAAGCCTCGACCTTCTTAAAATCCGGGTGAGGGTTGCGCTTGAGGATTGCGTCTCCCATGATGAATCGAGAGGTTGAAAATAGTCGTGATGAGTGAGTTGTGAGCGGTTTAATGATGCGACGCATGGGGGACCTGACTTGGGTTAAAATAAAAGTATGGGGATATTCGGAGGGGCTCGGGGTTAGATGTTGATTCCGGGGTATCTTTTCTATGGTAGTTAATTGGTAATGTTGCTAAGATCGTTTGTAATGCGTGATAAAGCAAGTGGATTGTCTTTTTCTCCACTGGTATTGGCTTTGGGTGAGGTCATTGATTGAGTACATATCGAGTCAGGTATTGAGCCTTGATTCTTGACTATGATTCGAAGGAAGACTACTAGTTTCGGAAATACGGAATAAGACATATATGATCTTGTAAGTGGTGGTTACTTTGGTAAGAGGAGATTACTTCTTTGATGTACGTTAAGGTATTAGGGGAATGATTATTGCTCTCAGATCTCCTCCTTCAACGGCGACGAAGCCAATACTGCGACATCGTCGGAATTGCTCGCAAGTTAACCAATTACTAACTTTGGACTATCATCAAGACCCTTGTGATCAATTATCATTGGCCGTCAACGCCAATAGTCCTCCCGCTTGGTGTCCGATGAGTGGTATTCTGAGCTGACATCAGAACTCAATATCAATGACCGGATCTCAGCTACATGTTTAAGAACGAGATAAGAACGAAGGCATCCTGACTCCAATAATAATATATACATAGAACGCTATCATGCCAACCATATGTATTTTCAGGACCATAGCCTGATCTATAGGTAGGTAGTGATAGGTTCGAAGGTTGTGTTGTTCTAAGTGTAGGGTAGTTATCTTACATAATGCAACCACTATAACCATTTCATGTGACAGCGCGAGCTAGCGGAACGCGGAAAGAGGAGTCATTCGCCGCGTCTAAATCTAGAAGAAAAAAGTTGATTGTTTCAAGCAGAAAATATCGTATCGATTATGACATAGGCAGATGATACATTTTTGTATCACGCCGATTTCCCTCTCAACTCTTTAAAACTCTCTCATGCAAACATGGGGCACTCGACGCCTCTCACATTTATTCAATTCTTGTAGCCTTCCATTACTACCAACCTTTTTATCTCAACGCCCCCCACCATCAACCTCACCTGGACTCTATTTCTATAGACGAGCCTGGAACAGTTCAAACCCAAAAGTAAAGTCTCGAGCTTTCAGGAAACCTCGCCTGTTCTCAGAATCTATCGTAAAACCAAAAGTGAGCGATTATTCTGCTGGTATTCCAATGGCGACTTCAGTTGAGATCGCTTCTGCGCCCACTGTGGACACTCCTGGCACTTGTCTCTTTGTCCACAGTGAGAGACGGGCATATTTGTTTGGCCGACCCGAAGAAGGGACTCAGCGCGCTTTCCAGAGCAGGAGACTAGGAATGGGAGCAACGGAACAGGTCTTTCTCAGCGGCAGTGTTTCATGGGAGTTGGTAGGAGGTCTGTTCGGCTATGTTCTCACGGTTGGTGGCGCACTAGAAGCTAGCAGAGAACAAACTGCAGTGATGAATGAGGAAAGGAAGAGCAAGGGTCAGAAGTTGACGAAGCAGGCTGCTTTTGAAACCATTCACATCCACGGTGGCGAGAATCTGAACCACACTTTGGCCGCATGCCGTCCCGTCATCTTACGACAGCCGATTTCCGTGCGCACGCATGAGCATAGAGAAAACCCTCGGCTTGAGAAAATCGAGAGCATAGAACCCGACTGGAAAGACGACGTGCTTCGTGTATGGAAGATTCCGATTCAACGAGATCGCTCTAGCAGCCCAAAGAAGCGTCGCAGGTCAAGCGCCATCGTTGGAGACCAAAAGAAACCACAGTTCAAAGAATGGTCACCACTTTCGGACCCTGAATATGCGTCCACTCTTGTTGAGAAGGTCATGTTCAATGGAAAACTCAAAGGCAACGGTATGCTCATCCCCGTCAAGCTGAGCGAGGTCAAGCCCAGGGATACGGTCTTTACACGCCAAGAAGGCGAAATAAAACTGTACAAGGGCCCGAGACCTGGCGATGGGTCAGAACTGACAGAACCGGATCAAACTGTTTGGGTGTTCCCCGAGAAGGAGGCTCAAATTGATCGCAGCGCGGATATCATCAACGTGACACATCGACGACTGCCCCCAACAATCTACAGCCAAAGCTCTATGTGCTATATCGTCAAATGCCTCGATCGTCGCGGGAAATTCAACCCTCAGAAGGCCAAGGAGCTTGGGGTACATGTCACTGACTTCAGGCATTTGACTGCGGGGAGCACTATAGTGACAAAAGATGGCGTCACTGTAACTCCTGAGCAGGTCCTTGGCGAGACTCAGCCTGGTCAAGGATTTATCCTCGCTGATATCGAGTCTCGCGATCTTATCAACTCTTTCATGGAGCGACCTGAATGGTCTAATTCTGAATTGATGTCTCATGTGGCTATCGTGTACTGGATTCTCGGCCCTGGAATAGCAGACGATGCTAGAATTCAGAAGTTTGTGGATGAGCACCCCACGATGAAGCATTTCTTTTGTGCTCAAGACACCTGCCCCAATATGATCTCTCTGGCTGGACCTGGGCAGTTACAGACCAAGCTACGGAGGATCGACCCTGAGAGATTCACTCTCCTCAAGTACGATAACGATATCAAGGGAGCCATGCCAAATGGATCACAAGTTGAGTCTGGCCGGATAGGAAACAAAATTTCGCTCATGCCCCGACTCAAATTTGGCGAAGGCGAGATTGCCCCGTTTCCTGCTCTCGGAGAGGCAGCTCAGTCTGTCAGTGATGAGATTCTCGAATTAGCACGAAAGGCTCGTGAAGAGACATCTGATCCTGAGTTTCTGCGAAAATTGGAAGAGGATGAACAAGATATTCCCAGCCGCGATGCTGAAATCATCCCCCTTGGAACTGGCTCTTCAATCCCAGGCAAATATCGCAATGTTTCGTCAACACTGATTCGGGTGCCTGGTATTGGAAACTATCTTCTCGATGTTGGTGAGGGCACTTTGGGTCAAATCCGACGTCTCTTTGGAGAGGAGGAAACTGGAAATATCCTCCGAGATCTCAGGTGCATTGTCATCAGCCATCTTCACGCTGATCATCACCTTGGTACTCCCAATTTGATCAAAGCTTGGTACGAACACACCATTGAAGACACCAATGCCAAGTTAGCTGTATCTTGTGTATCAAGATACAAGGCGCTCCTGGAAGAGGTCTCTCAAGTCGAGGATATTGGTTTCCACAGACTACATTTCCCCAATTGCAATAGCACCAAGCCCGATAAGCTCAACAACGGTCGCTTTGTGATCAAAAACGGCGACTTCGGGCTCCGTGCTATCAAGCGCATTCCAGTTCCTCACTGCTGGCTCTCCTACGGAACAGAACTCGAGCTCACATCCGGTCTCCGCATCGCATACTCAGGTGACTGCCGTCCCTCAGACGAGTTTGCACAGGAGTGCGAAGGTGCCCACCTACTTGTTCACGAGTGCACGTTCGACGATGACATGTTGTCTCACGCTAAGAAGAAGGGCCACTCTACGATGGGCGAGGCACTAGAGATTGCGCGCAAGATGAAGGCTCGAAGGACGCTGCTCACGCACTTCTCGCAACGCTATGTCAAGGCTGATTCGTTGAAGAGAGACGAGAGAGGTCGGGCTGGTGAGGCGCTCATGGCTCTTGATCTCATGAGTGTTAAGCTGGGAGATTTCAAGAAGGCGGCTGCTTTCCAGCCTGCGATTGCTATGCTCATGGCAGATGCGGGTGACAAATAAAGTCCATGGTATGAATAGACTTGTATGATAGTAAAAGCATAGAGTTGTATCGCTATATATGACCTGTTGATGACTACTGTTCAAGTCTACAGAGCCTTAGGAATAGAATAGATGCGAGTTTCTCCCATAGGAACATGACTTGAATTATTCATAGCCGTCAACACAAGCTCTAAGGGTACAATAATAACTTTACGAATTAGAAGCTCACCAGATGTAGATTGAGAACCAATTATACATTCTATCCATGTCGAGGTATCTTCTGTAGGGTGGCCGCATATGCGATTGAACACAGGAGATTCAGCGTCACCGTAACTCCACCCTCGAAACAATCTTTTAGCCCACAAGGAACTCAAAACTCTCATATATTAACAACGTATCCAAGACATTCCTACCATTCAGACATCAACGACAATGATCTTAGCAGCCAACTTGCCAATCTTGAGAGAGAATAGCAGACGAACTCTTCATCGGAATTTAAAGGTTCCGGCCGCGTGGCCTAATGGCTAAGGCGCTAGATTTCGGTCTCCAGCTTCCGAACTCTCTAGAGATTCCAGGTTCGAATCCTGGCGTGGTCGATTACTTGCTGGAATATATCTTTTGCCAACTGGCACTCGTCGGCATTGTACTTTTTGCAGATCCGGTACTCAGAGTTGGGGACTCGGGATATCAACCCGCCAATCGCGGCTTGTTGATCTACTGCTTAGGTTTTTGGTATCTCTTTGGTGACTGATATCGTTGCTCCGATAAGGGACCGGCCCGATATACGGAGTAGATGGACCCTGAATACTTCTTCTGATCTTCAAGTTGTGTCTATCTCGAAGTGAATTCCACCAGAAATTCTGAATTAATTCTAGAGATGCTCATGTCTACTCGGGACTCGTCCCGATTCTGCTTATGCGTAACCCCACGATTTATAGCCCGGACCGGGGCTGCATGTACGTAAATTAAGCCATGTGCCGGCTCCGAAAGCGGGACTCACCTGCGGCTACGTTAGCTTATCGTCGCGTTTGTTCAGAGCAACCCCCCTCCACCGGATTTTTTTGTCCCACGAAGTGGTCATTCGGGCATTTCTAGTCCACAAGAACCCCTCTAGCGGTCAATTAATTTATTACCTTTGCCTCGCCTTACTTTACTTCAGGTCAGGTAAAGCTTTGTTTGTTTCCCCCTCCTGCCGCCCTCTTGCTCGCGAGCGAATACCTTCGTTATCTCGAATCCGACAAAGAATCCGTCCCGTATCTACACATAGAACATGTCGGCCTCGCTTCCTGGCGCGCGGGAGCTTCCCGCTTCCCAGTATGACCTTGAAACATATATGGGACGGGTGCGCCATACAGTGGGCATCACAGACCCTACGTGAGTCTAATTGCTGAAACTCTGAACCTCCGACTTCAAGTATCATGAGCTGACCATGCTGGTGCATTCTCTAGGACCCTGTTCGCGGGCGCGACCGGACTCGAGGCGGCCAAGAAGCTGGTGACGGATTACAAGACGGGAAATATCGAGCACATGTCACCATCTTTGTGGCATGCGAAGAAGGTTGTTGACTCTACGCTGCACCCTGGTATATATGGCCCTGGCAGAGTGCAATCGTGACACCAGCTGACGAGATACTGTGCAACAGACACCGGCGAGCCCGTCTTCTTTCCCTTCCGAATGTCTTGCTATGTTCTGACCAACCTCGTCGTGACCGCCGGTATGCTTCAACCTGGCATGGGTACAGTCGGTATTGTTGGATGGCAAGTCTTCAACCAGTCCCTGAATGTCGCATTCAACACTGCCAATGGCAACAAGTCCTCCCCCATGTCGACCGAAGTCATGATCAAGTCATACCTCTCTGCAGTGGGAGCTTCTTGCTCTGTCGCTCTTGGTCTTAACGCCATTGTGCCTCGACTTAAGGTCACACCCTCCACCCGCCAAATTCTCGGTCGACTGATTCCCTTCGCTGCCGTTGCTACAGCTGCTGGCCTTAACACCTACCTCATGCGCCGGGACGAGATCGTCAAGGGCATCGATGTTCGACCTGTGCTTTCGGATGATGACAAGCAGAAGCTCATCGCCGAAGGTAAGTCAGAACGGGACGTCCCCTCGCTGGGCAAGTCTCAATCTGCTGCCAAGCTCGCTGTGTATCAAACCGCAGCCAGCCGAGTCTTCACAGCGTCTCCTATCATGGTTCTACCCCCTATGGTCTTGTACCATATCGAGAGCAGGCAAGCTTGGTACAAGAACCTCATGCAGAAGGAGTGGGTGCGCTCACGACCAGCCCTCGTCAAGGGTATTCCCCTGGGCATCAACTTGAGCTTGATCGCTCTTACCTCCTTTGCCGTCCTTCCTTTCGCTCTGGCTGTCTTCCCACAGCAACAAGAAGTGAGCGCTGAGTCACTCGAGCCTGAGTTCCATGGCAAGGGAGGAAAGAATGGCAAGGTTGTTTTCAACCGTGGCCTGTAATCGGCCTCTGTTGCATCAAACAAAACCCCTTTAGCATGATGATCGTGAGAACGATTGCACATCTTGCTCAAGCTACCGTGCTATCATGCTGTCTGAACAGCAGTCGAGAGGCTTCCTTCAGATCTTGTTGAGGAAGCAACATGTCACTGGCTAACAAACTAGAATTGCCTCAAACACGCACGGAGGAACAAAAGGGTTAAAAAGTATGTCTCTTGGTTGGTTTGAAAATATGAGAGACAACGAGAACCGCAAAGACGGCGTTTATAGGATAGATAGAGATTCTTTGCTACTTTGAGAGCGTGCCAGGTCTGAAATGTTATGCAGGAACGCAAGTACAAGAGCTTTTCAGGGCCAAAAGTTGCTCGATTTAGCCAATAGAGCTAGACTTGACTGTATCATTAGATATTAGACGAATGAACTCACGCAACACCCCTTAAACAGTGCAATATATTGTGACTTATACAGTTGTTGTCCTAGATCTCACGACGTATGTTAACCTTGTGATGAAAATGGACAGCTGTTGAAGTCTACGGTTGGTTGTAAGGGTAAAGTCGGCAGCGCAAGGTGGCCCTGTACCTTTCACAGTCGAATAAGACAACCCGATTCCATTAAACCACAGCCAACAAAGCATCGTTGTCAAGTTCATCAAGCCAATATCATCAAAGCGGGAGAAGAGCCTTGGAAGTCTAGTGATTGCACATTTCGGCGAGACCTGGCCCAACAGTCAAACCATCGCCACCGGGATCGACAAGGCTAGCCCAGGCTAGATGCTGAGCCGACGCGTCGCGCCTGTTGAAGGAATGTAACCAAGCAAATGGCAGGACTACATATCTTGTGATAACCAAAAGAGAGAGGGGTAGTTTCTCTGTGCTTTCGTGTTTTACAGGAACAGACTCATACATACGTGAGATAGTCTCCACAGGAATATTCGTGAAGTGTCTAGATAAGGACAATTCAAAGTGACATGGCCATGGAAGTTGGTGACGATTCTTGGTGGGGCGTCTTGGTTGGCAATACGGAGTAGCAGTGGCCTTGGATGGGGCAGAAGTGACCACTGCTGAGACTGTTAACACAAGGCGAAGCAGGAAACGCCGAGTCGAAAGCTCGTCCCGTTCGTTGTCTTCTGGGTTTGATGAAACGGGGGTGCCTAATACTAATTTGATGAGGAGGATTTTGTCAAGTACCGTAGCGTCTCAGTTCGGCAAGGACCACCTACCTATGAATAGCAACGGAATCATGGCCGTGATGAGAGGATGCGAAGTTTGATGCCCTCATAATAGACGTATCGCCGTCAGTAAGGAAATGAGACCCAGCCAACAGGAAACCGTAAATTGAGAACCCCAATCACGTTCGTGGCGCACAGTGGGGTGTCCTTGGGCTGAGAGAAGTAAGGAACGCCCTCCGCCAGAGTTGTCATGGTTGATTCAAGACATAGATGCACACTGTCCGCTCATAGAGATAACGCAGTAAAGAGAGAGAAGATACCTGAGATACTGTTCATTCTCACAGTACAGAGAGTCGTTGGCAGCCCACCAAGGTCAACAAAGTCCTCGGAAAGAATGCATTTGGGGTTGTTGGCCTCCATATGTTCGAATCTGTAATTGGAGGGACCATGTCAAACATTCTGAGAGCCGGGGAATAGTGACTGGCGGATAGGAGGGATCCATGGCCGAGGCGGGAGACGGGCATGTGCCGCAAGAGTGGACGAGTGTGTGCACCTGTGTGAAATGGTACGAACAAGTTCTCGAACACATTGTTCAGTAACCAAGTCCAGCCAAGGTTGTGAGTATGCTCGTGGTTCCTCAGAACAAGACTCGGGAAGCGACATGATCAATTTTAACGCTGCTGTTTATTGTATCAGCTCCTTCAGGCTCCTCTCAATATGCGGCTGGCTGCGACGAATGATGTCGGAGGCCGTGAGCTGACTGAACCTCTCATCAGCCCAAGACATCGGGTCAGCAAAAGTTCGGACGGTGTCCACTGTCCACTGATCACTGGTGGTCATGCTGGAGTGTGGTGCAGAGAGGCTCTGGAACTGTAACGGCTGCATGCCCGGAACGATTCGAGACAGAATTGGTGGCATCCCCTCTCTGCAAGTGTGGGGTGCCTTGTCCGGGGTCTTCAAGGGCTCAGACGACGGACAATTGGATTTTCAGAACCATAGCAGACATACAGCCAAGCTGAAGGTGAAATAGGGGGGCTACAGTGACACATAGAGCACTGTTTGTCATGTAATGAATCTACCACACCCACAACCTTGGCTTCAGACATTCTTTCCATCATCAACAAGTGTCAGCAAAGAGCGATCACTTCAACATGCACCAGAAAAGGCACGGGGTTGCTGGAGGGTCTTGGGTTGGCCAAAAGGCCCACCGCCAGCGTCACCCTGCCCTGGGGCGAAATGCGTACCAGATCTGATGCTCTTTAGGTGCGCAGAGAGTGGAAGTACCTAGGTAGAGTGCTAGACCCTTCCAGACGATTAAAGTTGAACTCTCTTTCAAGCGGTACAGAGGTACCAACGGGTAAACCGAACCGTATTTGCAATTGTCCCTGACTTGCTTGTAAAAGGGTTATTTTCCGGCATCGAGCAGTCATATCCCAAATACCTGCACGAAGGAGTTGTATGAACAGATACAGGTGTGATTGTTCATGGACAACCACCTTTAGGTTAAGTGATAGGTACTGTATGGATACTGTTTGGTGTGCTCCGTAGGGTGTGGGTTCTGTGTGTGTTTCTGTGCAGTAGGGTCGCGTTTATGGCTGCCCTGTGAATGGATCTCTCATGACGTATATCCGATATGTTATTA